GTGACCCAGCTTGACCCGGTGACCCAGCTTGACCCAGTTTGACCCGGTGACCCAGCTTGACCCAGTGACCCAGCTTGACCCGGTGACCCAGTTTGACCCGGTGACCCAGCTTGACCCGGTGACCCAGCTTGACCCAGTGACCCATCCTGACCCAGCTTTACTCAGTGACCCGTCCTGACCCGGTAGCCCAGTAATTAAATTATTGTTAGTTATCATCCAAAACAATTTCAAGTAACTTTTAATTAAAAAAAAACTTCCTCAATAATATTCGGCAACAAGCACGTAGCCCAATTTCATTCAAGAGAACTAATACCTAAAAAAAATCAAATGCATTTGTTTATAGTTTGTAGTCAAGTAGTCAATGAAAGTATTTAGAGAAAAGATTTATTTGGATTAAGCTAACTAGTAGAAAAAAAATTAAATGTGAATGAACACCTGTAAGCAAACTGGAAAGCCCTGAAGCAAAGAAATAACTTATTCTAATACAATTCGGGACATGGAAAGTTTTTTACGGCAGTATTAAAGCAAACATCACAGAAATGGCAGTTGTCAAGCAATCGAGTATTATTTTCAACAAACCAGCATTTCATTTATGCATAATCTGTACACTTGAACCGAGGGCACTGACTTAACTGCGTTATTCAATCAAACTAGGTGACTGGGTCGAATTGGGTCCCCGGGTGAAATGCGTCGCTGGGTCAAACTGGGTCACTGGGTCAAACTGGGTCACTGGGTCAAGTTGGGTCACTGGGTCAAACTGGGTCTAACTGAAAAGAGTATGACGTGACCCAGCGACCCAGTTTAATTTAGTGACCCAGGTGACCCAGTGACCCAGTCCAACTCTGCTCGGAAATCATGCTCCGATACTTTGAACCAGGCCATACGTTTATGGCAGCAGACTCATTCCATCACAGAGTTGAGTTGTCAATGCAGAGGATGGGGAATAGGATATATGATTTTGAGGATTATGTCACAGCTGTGAAAAATGCAGCTCCAAAGTGTGAAGTACTTGCCATGGACGTTAAACATTTTTTTTTATGGGACGATTACTCTTCACAGTACAAGTTAGGCCGCATTCAACCTAGGCCTTATTTGAGTGAGATGGTGGAAGTTATATTCACAAGAGGGTCAAACGTGGTGAAGTACAAAAATGATTTTTCTGACACCGAACATATTGAATTAAACTTTTTAAGCGCAAAGTACTGTAAAATTAGTGTTTTTCCAAAACCAAAAAAGCAAGAAAAAGTTAAGGGAGTTCCTTCAGAAAAGAAGAAGAACATCCTTAAAAATATCGGAGGTATCATTAAAGATAGCAGACTTTTGTTTTGGGAAAATCTGCCAGAGTCGTAATGTCCACATGCTTTTTTTTCCTATGTATTTTTTAATCATAATGACAGGTTTGAATGTTTTGTATTAATAAATTAACACATCTTCCCATATCTGCGTTGATTTATTCCCTTATCCGTACAGACATTACAAAATTCAGATAGGTATTAGGTATATTATATATATATATATTATTTATAACAATCTACTCAATCAATTTCAAAATCAACAATTTGACATTTACCAAGACAGTATCAATAAAGTCTTGACATTCAAAGATAAAATTTATACTTCAAGTCTCCAGTTAAGTCGTTCATTTTTTTCATTCAGTGGGTTTGTTTTGATTTTACTTAGCGAAAATGACGTATCTCACTAAAAACCATGAAATAATTAAAATTTCATATTTATCATTAGGTAGTCAAAAGTACCTATAAACAGAAATGCAATGAGGTCGAGTAAAAAAAAGAAAACAAATAAATTATTAACTAGGTGAGAATAATAATTTTACTAAATTCGTCCTAGCCAAAAGTATTGTTTTATGAGATACGTCTTTTAGCCTTAGGACGGCAGTATATACCACCTGCGCATGCGCGATTCTGTCCAAAATCTTTTCAGTTCTTCCTTTTATGTCCAAGAATGAGTACTTACTAAATTTCGTTCCAATTCGTTTAGCCGAAAATGAGAGTAGGTACAAACAGATAGGCCGATATCGAGATTTATTGTTTCACTCGGATTCCTAGTGCTTCAAAACGTACGTATTTCCGTCAACAAAGTGGAGGGGTCATTTTTTACCCCATTGCAATACCTTCCTTACTATGCGGGTGGTAATAAAATGCTGCATAAAAAACTCGGGTACGCCATATGGGTCCATATTTTAAACTCTTTATGGATTGGAATGTATTGCGGAGGACGACACAGAAATTATCCGCATATACGGTTTAAGACAGTGATATGCCGTTGCGGAGTTTTGTGTGGGGCTACAATTGATCTATAGATGTTTTCCTATTTATTTCGGTTTGCTCTGCGTTTTGAAATAAATATGCGCGATCGTGATTTGCGTAAGAAAACATCAAAAGACTCGGCCAGTGGAAGTGTAATGACTAGGCCAAAGTTTGTCGCTTCATTGGACAGATCACCGATTTAACCTGCAGTTCGTATACCTACTTTACACCATGGTCACGAACAAAGGGCTAATGTAGCAGCAGAAGTCATGTGAAATATTTTTTAAACTAAACTATCAAAGTTAAAAATGACGGTTTTTCACTATTCTTTCATTTCCGATTTTATCTCTTTTTTTTCTTTATGTCTCGTACACGACTTCTCATCGCGTCCCACCACGTAAAGCCTTCTTTCCTTCACATCTAGTTCAAACCTCTTTCGCGCTTTATTTATACGTATAAGGCATCTCACGCGCCTTCCTTAATTCTCGCCCACCAATCATACACCATTTTCCTGTACAATTCCTTCACATTTATCTTTTACAAATACATATTTCCTTTTTTCTTCAAAAGTCACGCGTTTCCTTGCCTCCATCCTTATCGCGTCCTTTCAGCACGTCTTTTCGCGCATAAAGGCCGATTCATAGTTCAGGTCAGGCTCCACACAAGCCGCAACAAAATTTTGTAGGTAACACACTATTTAAATGAGGGTATTCACATTTGATGTTTCCTCAGGGTACGCTCAAGACCGCGCTTTTTCTCGCTGCGAATATCTAGAACAGTGGTTCTCAACCTTTTTTTGGTGACGGAGCATTATAGATTGTAAATGAAATCGCGCGGAACACCAAATGCCAGGGGGGGGGGGGGTTTAATACGAGTTGTTAACACAAACGAAAATTGATCAAGAAGTAAGTTTTATTTTAATTCCCTAACAAAACGTTATTTTTTCAAACTGAAACTTAAAAATATATAAAACCAAAAGTAACGTAAGAGAGAAAGTTTATTAGTGGGACACTTGTGCCTGATGTTGTTGGCATCTTTTGTCAATATCAGGCCTAATGTGAGAAAGAGCGACTCTCATTTCCTCTTCTAAATTAGTAGTCTCTCCCTTTTCTTATTTTTAATGTTTGTTAGAGAGGAGAAACCTAATTCACATAAATACGATGTTGAAAATTGTATTAAAGTATTTATAGCTACGTTGGAAAGAAGTGGATATTCTTCATGTTCAGAAATCCAAAATTCTTCATCGCTAACCTGCGAAAACTTCATTTTCAGAGTGCGGTCTGATTAAGAGGTAACATATTACATAATTATATTTCGCGGAACATTTGATAGGCATTCGCGGAGCACCAATGTTCCGCGGAACGCTGGTTGAGAACCACTGATCTAGAAGGAACCGAGACGTTGCGCTCGGGTCTATAACAGACAGCGTTTGATTTTCCATTTTTAACGCATTTTCCAACGAAGTTGGGTACGCTATTGCAGCCACATTCTCTGTCCGAGGCCTTAACTACTCATACAGTTCTCAAGGTATTAAGTTCGTTCTTTTTGCATTCGGTAGCGTATAGCTCTAGCACCTGAGCCAAGGAAAATCTTGACAATTAAACTGCGCAATGTCAACTTCCTTATTTATTGATATATTTTGTTGAAATTTTAACCACATATATATTTCTGGTGAAGGCAAACATATCGCATATAGTAACAATCAGATGTGCGCATGCGCACACTGCGCAATGGCAATCTTATTTATGGAGATATTTCTTTGAAATTTTAACCAAAGTTGCTTTATGTAAGCAAACGTATCGCATATTGTAAACATCAGAGAAATACCCGCATGCGCAGGACGCGCAATATCAACTGTTATTTATCGAGATATCTTTTTGAAATTTTAATCACAGTTGCTTCTGTTAAAGGCATGCGCAGTCAGTGCCAACTTCTTTATTTATCAACTCACTCACAATATAGACGAATCTTATACAATATTTATAAGCGAATTGTGGTGGCGTCGTATATAAGTTGATAGATTTGGAAACATTATTTTCTCTCTTCCATGAAATGTGTCAGCCCATGCAGAAAACAATTTTTTTTCCTAAAATTGCATAGCGGTATAGGGGCGAGTACAAATGTGCAAGGAGTGCACAGAAAGTAAGTTTCCATTTTGATTCTAACTTTATTTTCCATTTTTATATTATTCTCTTCACTTCCTACAATAAATCTATAGCTATAGCCATGCGAACTTAAAATAAGAAAAAAGGCCCTACAATAGATTCTTGAGGAACTCCATTAACATTTAAGCAAACGAGGAAGGATTATATTATCAAAAAGGTGCAGAGAAAATTGGTATAAAGAGACGCCTCTCTTAGATGATTTAGGTGCATAATACTTGAATATTTATTATCTATTTTATACAATTCTACACCACTTGGATTTTTGTACTTAAATCACTATGCACTCGTGAGGTAACGTTTGATCCCTAGTGATACCACGTGGACAAGCTGAAAAAATTGTTTATTTTGATGAGGAAAATGAGGTGAAAAGGTTATCATACCCCGATTACAGCGTAAACCAAAGTATCCAGTACCCTCGCATAAACATTTGTAACCGGGATGATGAGATATTTGCAAACAACTGCCTCCGTGTTGACATGGATTTGGTGAGCATATATCGGTACGTTTACCTAAAATTAAGGATGCATACAATGCTATCAAAAAAATCTATTTGAGACCTCTTAATGCGTTATTACACTCCTGAATTGTGTCGTAGCGATATTCGTTCATACAACCTGATCCGCAGGAGCAAGCTCTGTTTTGTATACGACAACCCTGGCGGATTTGGTCCATGTCGCAACTATGAACCAAATACACACCTATAAAAGCGATAGTGAAGCCTTCTTTTGCAAGAAGTAGAATGCCACTTACAAATAAGGACAAGAAGAATTAGTTTCCACATTTGGTCAAATAAGCACTTTACTTCACCAAAAAAATACACTAAGACGCGTGTATACTGTTAGCTGGAGATGCAACGTATGTACAGATAATTGTGTCGTTGCCCTCACTTCCTATATTTTCTAAGTGATAAGGGGTCCTTAGGGCGAGAGAGGCGATATTTGAATATCAAAACGTAAATTAATCTAAACTTGATAAAAACATTTTATTTTATTACATTCGATATAGTAAGTTACAAACGAAAATGGGACTTATAGTGCGTCCTTCCGTTGGGTATCGCTCCTTGTAGGCGCATCCTTCGTATTGCTTCGCGGAGGTGTTTCGGTTGAACTGGACCAATTTCGTTATGTTCCTCCATGACGTCGAGAGCTGCAATTAAATAGTGTGTCAAATTTTGGCGCAATTCGCTGGCCCCACCCGATTGAAATCTCTTCTTGGTGGATTGAGATTAAATCTCAATATATAGGGTGGTCATTTTGGGCGTTTATTCAAACATACTTTTGAAATGAACCATCTTTAAATTAATGATTACGTATATATGAAGGCCCATGTTTCTCGAAATTGAGTTGACAGGTAAAGCGAGTAGGTAACGAAACTCAACTTTTGAGAAGACTTTGAATTTTGTTGAACTATAAAGATTTTATTTAATACGGAAATACAGAAAGTATAGCTAGTAACTTCATTATTTTAAAAGGCAATCCCTATTTTTTATTGAATTTTTGGATTCTACGTAAAATTTCAGGTTCATTTGATACCCACACATGTCCTCCCACAATTTATGGTTTTTAACTTTTTTTAAATTTCTTAAATTTGGATCTCCATAAGAGCGGTCGTATGCAACTTTACTTTTTGAAGTATACTAAAAGAAAGACTTATTCTTTCTCAATGCACTGGTAAAAATGGGTTGCCATAACTACAACTGTTTTCAAATAATCAATACTTTAAGTATAAAAAAGACATTAAAATAAAAAATTATT